AAATGATTTGGAATCATACTCTTTTATCAATGCAAAGCGAAATCAATAACTGACAGAACCATTTCTCCTTTTAGGTGTCTTCAAAAGCTCCCTCAATGAAAGCAAATCCCCTCCCTCTCCTCCCTTAGGATTCTACTTCTCAAGCTCCTTGGTCTCCTTCTGACTGTAAAGGGCAAACGTTGCCCCAGCGGGAGAGGCCTAAGTGAGAGGACGGTGCGATAAATCCGCGATAAGGAATCGTTTGACTCGCTTACTCGATAGCAGTGATGGCTGTGAACGTGGAGTGGATGTGGTGAAGAATACTGACAAAGAGAGGGAACGAGGTGGTGATGACAGTACAGGCTCATCTGGAAGTGAACTTTGTAGGGTTTTGCTGGGTGTTTACGATAATGCTCCTTCTCGGAAGAGTTCAGAGATCCTGGATGAAGAGCAAGCGCTGGTGTCTGCAGTCCTGAGCTCTTTACTGGCTCTCAGTCATTCAGCTAAAAACTGCAGCTTTACAAGGTGAGGATAGGACATCCTTCTTTAGTTTGAGTCATTCCTGTTAGAGCGGTTTTCAATTGAGTGTCGAAAGTATTAACCAAGAATAGGCCATTTCCGAGTTGCCCTTTTTCTTCTGTTTCAAAGCGAGTCCTGGTGTACAACCTTTCATATCGAAATAAGTTTTACTTCCACGTTCATTGTCTCGCAAATCAAACTCATTTCCATATGAAAGGTTGTGCACCAGGACACGTTTTGAAACAGAGGCAAAAGGCAACTCGGAAATGGCCAATTGCGTTGGTTTTACTTTACTACGCTCTGTGATTGGTCATACGCGTTTTCCCGCCACTTGGCGCCGGTTGCATGGTTTTGCTTCGAGTTCTGATTGGTTCGTTGAGTTATTTGCATTGTTGTGATTGTCAGATGTGATAACTTTGGTTTGGATTCTCGACAGTCGTTTTGAAATTGCTCTGGCATTCAATTATCCATCAATTTTGTTTTTTCAGCTGGTCTGGTGGAAACTACCCTGGAGCACATAAAACATCTTCCATGCCCAGTTGAACATGAACTCACTCCAGCTTGGAAAAGGACCCTCGTGGAAAAGGAAGGTAGACGACTTGTGTGACCACCGCGTTTCTTTTCCGCCCAATTTTTGGGGTTGTTTCTGTGCATGAAAAGTGTTTACTTTTTCTGATTTCAATTTGTTTCACGATGCATGTGCATCTGAACAACGTTTAAACTGACACTGTCTTTTAACCGATTGTTTATTTTTAGGAAGATCCGTTCATGACTGGAACTCATCAAAGTGATCCAACTCCTCAGAAACTTCATTCATTGCAGTGCGCTAGTGAAGGTAACTATCATTTATGAAGCAGCTTTTTTGAAAAACGTTTGCAGCTCTGGTGAAAATGATGACATATCTATATTTGCTAATTTGTATCTAAGCATAGCCTATTAAAAGAACGCTCAGTTTTTACTTTGCCTAAGGCCTAATTGAGGATTACTTTACTCTGGGTAACATAGAGAACAGAGGATGGCAACTGTCGGGGTGCTTTAATAGAACAATTTCATCCTTTTCATAAATGTGGACCCTAGCTATGATGATAAATATTCCACACCGATATGGTAGCACAGAACGTGCAGTAGTGAAATAATCTGTTGTGAGAATGAATGTATGAGTGCGGAACTATAGAGAGAAAAGAACTTGAAACTTCAATTTCCAACAGTCGGGGGAACAAGTGCCGTTTTTGGCAAATCAAATACGTCATGTTGCTTAGCAACTTCGAGGACGAAAACCGCGGGCTAAGTCCCGTCTTGGAGACCGACTGTTTCAAGAGTGATCAACCTTTTATTTCTCCTTATAATATCAATACCTTGTCAAGCAGACAGGTGATGAGAATAAATAAAATCATCTCCCTATATCACTAAATTCTCATGACTAACATTTTAAAAAGATGCATGACAGTCACTAAGAAGAATTGATATTTAGACATTTAATAGTACTGAGTGGGCTAAGGCTATACTGTACATGTATTTTAAAACTGACAGGGTTTTGTTTCTCCTGTAGGCGGCTTGTTTGGAGTGCGGCATCGTGGATGTGCTGCACAAAACTCTGGTCGTGGTGTACCGTTGAAGTGCCACTTCTTATTGAGGTTTTACGTCTCTTGTCTACACTGACAGGCCCAGTTCTCTAAAGGTATAGGTGTTGGAAATTACAGTCAAAGCTCCCGTAAGCGAGACACCCTTCGGGTAAGCCGAAAAAACAAAAATAAAAAAACCCTCAAAAAGTGTCCGCAACTGGAAGTGGCACGCTCCGCCCTACGGGAAAATGTGTGTAAAAATACAGAGTTTGTATGCAGCTAGAGTTCAAACGGGTTTTGTCCAAGGGCGAGGCCGGTAAGTAAGAGAGCTAGTTTTGTCTCCGCTTACGAGAAGTGTCCGCTCACAGAGCTTCGACTGTACTAACAGTTACTGTAATTCAGCGGGCAGTATTCAACATTCATCCAGTCACGCCGCATTTGCATGTCCACGGACACACAAAAACAGCTACCTTCATTATTTTTCATTCTCTATTTTCACAGCATTCAGCATTTATCGGCAGGGCAGCTCAGGGGTGTTCCTGGCTAGTGCTCAAGCCGTACTGTTCATGAGCAGTCGAGGCTGAGACGTTTCTGACACAGTCTGATCAACAACTGACCAAATAAGACAAAACAAGCAAGCTTCAGGAAACAGCTCTGGTGCCAGACACCTAGACACAGGTACCCTGGCTGTACTCGAGAGCCATGGTGTTATCTCGTTCAGTAACCTGCGCCTTGAGTGCTGGAATGCCCAGAGGAGTACATGTGGAAGGTTAGGGGTACTGGAAGATAGGTCACGTGATTAGTTATAGTTACTTATAGTCTCCCCCGCGGCAGGTTCTTGTTGTCGCTTACGAAAGCCGTTGGCCACCTCTTACCACCCAGCCATACAAACGGTCCCCTTGTAAAATTACGACGCTTTCAAAAGGAAATTCCTCCGTTCAATATCAATGTTATTCCTCTGTTTAAATAGTTCCACATTTACTAAATGGCCCTGTCGCCATTTTTAATCGTAATTCTGCAGTGTGAACCTCGCTATCTCGAACTCGGTTCATCTCGAAACACCCCGACTATCTTCATTTTTTTTTATCGAAACTCAAACCCATTCCCCTTGCCCATTGTTTTTCAAGTTATTTACTATCGCTTATTCTCGAAACTACCTCGCTATCTCGAACTGTTTTTCGTTTCCCTTGAGAGTTCGAGATCAGCGGGGTTCAACTATGTATAAGTTTGAATGTACTTACGATTATCAGATTGAGTAAGGCGCAAGGTAAGTTTGGTGACAAGGTTTTCACGTTTAAAACTACGTGTTGTCTTGAAGCAATTAGCTTTGGTTTCCAATGGTAACACTGTCTGTCACTCGGACGTCCAATCACTAACAAGATGTCGCGCGAAAATCTGAGTAGATGAACTGGCTTATTTGCCTCGTTTGTTCCAGTCAGTTCATCCTCTCCGAATTTTCGCGCGCTTTGTTACTATAATTGACGTCAAGTGGCAGACAGGTTACTTGTGCAACCAAGCAACAAGTACAACAAGTTCAGTTTACTATGGGAAAATGTATCAAGAACCAGTGAAAGAATTGTTACATTGTAGTTACATCCGAGCTTCATGTGTCAGTCGCATTCCACTGCATAAGGGGTTATCACATTTGTCTTTAATCTAACTCTACAGACAAACTTTCGACCAGCCCTTCCTCGTCAACTAGAGGCCTATGTAAACAGCGGCGCCCATACTCAGACACAGATCAATAACCAGTGGCGTGACACTGTGTTGGCTCAGCTTATAGTGAAGCTGTGACATTCTTCACTGGGTGGCCAGCAGGGCTGTGTCAAGGACCCCTGGGGTAGTGGAGGGTGTTTGTTAGAGCTGAGTGGGCGCCCAGAACACAGCTAGCTACAGAAAAGGCGCTTCTTGTTCTGAGGAATTTGTGCTTCCATGGCGCTAGCAAAACCGCTGCTTTTGGCTGAATGGTGAGTGACGTAGGCCTGCTGTGCAGACCGTTTCTACTATTTCCTTCCTTCGTCGGAAAAATTCACTTTTCCGACGAAGGGAAAAAATAGGAGAAGTCTGGCGTGCAGGCTATGAGTGAAGAAGGTAATTGAAACTGTGTTTTTTACGGTTGAAGTTTCTGCAAGTTGGATTCCCGAAATTGCGTGGCTTTCATTGGGATTGTTGCCGTTGATTTCCTTTCGTTGTAATAGTTGTCGCTCACACTTTTCGTATTGATGTCTCCTCTGCTTGAACAATCACAAGGGCATTCGGAACCCAAAATGCGTGTGGCCGATCCCTAGAATTTGTGTCAAACAGCACTCCCCCCCCCTTTTCCTTTTTTTTTTTTCCCCCCCCTTCCCTCCACCCCCGCCCCTCCTCCCGCAACTCTAGGGCTTTTTAGGTAAGAAAATCCCACAGTATAGTAGTAGACGCCTTACCCTAGGATCAGTTACCTTAAGCAAGTTTTGCTTGAGTTCTTTCCCCCTCGCGATATTTGGGCTGTTTTGATGAATTCCGTACAACATTCTAAACTAATCTCTGATACTTTTTTTATTTATGTTCAGAGAAGCTTCTGTATCTTCATTGTGGATTTTACTACCGACAGTTCAGGTTAGTCTGGGAGCGTTGTGTCGCTCAGCCTTTATGTTCGCTATTGCAAAAATTGTCAGAGAGGTGGGTAACTAGGCACAGTTAGAGGATTGATCTAAGAGAAGGATTCTCCGTGCCTCATGATAATTGTTTCGCGCCATGCTGTGAAATCTATTTTTATTTCCTTTCTGATCGAGGCTTCTGACATAACGTTACGTGAAACTGACCAATCTGAGTAGCGCTTCTTGACATAGCTCAGCACTACACTTAATTTAAAAATAGATTTCAAAAAATAATATTGAAAGAGGCCCATGTATGGAGAGAATGCTTCTCTTAGATCATCTCTCTTGGCTTCAATTCCACTGTTTACAACGGGATTCGAACCCAATGACCTCCGCGATACCGGTGCGATGCTTCTACCAACTGCGCTACCGAGTAACTGCTTTTAATTACAAACTCAAAACTGAAGTAGTAATATAATATTCAGGAATAATCATTTACGAATGTATGTGTTCCGCGCAGTGTTCGTGTTTGCAAACTACTACTGTAGCAGATTGTGTCTTGTAATTGGAGTATAGGCCAAAGTTTCATTGAAGAAGACAAGGATGGTGAAGAAACTCGACCGAAATTCAAGTTGCTGCAAGGTTTCGGTTGTCGACAATTTTGTCCGTTTACTTTTAGTTGATTAAAGGGTAAAATTATAACATCCTACGTAACACGAAATGAGGAACAAATGGTTGGTGAAGGTCTCGAGCGACTACATGTTTGTAGCGGTCTTTTTACCTCACCAAGAGGAAGTAATATATCAAACACGCAGAGACAGTGTTTCATCCATTTCCAAACACGAGAATGGAACTCCAGAATGAGTTGAAAATACGACGCGCAGCAGAGTATTTTTGAACGAAATTCTGAGGTGATTGAAAGCTACCTGTGACGAAACACTGTCTCGAGTGTTTGAGTTATCTCCTCAATCGAAACTAAAACTAAGGAATTAAACGGGGAAATAAAATCGTAACTATCAAACCACCATCACGGTTATATTTCCTTTTTTAAATTATTTTAGGTTCGAGATTCATCAGTCTTGGAGAGCTCCGAAAGTGACAAAATGCTTTTCCATGTGCCTCACCTCAAAGATAATTGTATTTGGCTTGAAAAAGTGGTCCTCGATCGTTTTGCAAAAGACTGTTTCATCATATTTAAAAAATATTCCCTAATGACCTCACTTAGTTTGTTACTCGAGTCGTTAGCTCACGTACAAGTTAGCCTAGTACCTTTTATGAGTGAGGTAATTAATTTTTTCTCAAGTAAAACTAAATTATTGTTGTTGTTGTTGTTGTTGTTGTTCCCTCTAGAAACCGAACTTGGTGTGTGAGCGAGGACTTAAGCTAACCTGTTTCTTATATTGCAGTTACGTGTGTTTATGTCAGGATGTGAACAACCGGATACGCGAGGACAAATACAGCAAAGATGTGTCAGCGAGAGTATCAACGCCTTACATGAAAATGTTCTCGAAACAAAGAATGCACACTGAGCTACATTTAAAAACCATTTATTTCTCCATGTGATATATTAAAGAAAATAGTATTTGTAGAGTGCTTCTGTTACTTACGGGTCAAACAGAATGGGATTGACGTTTTTCGGGAGATAGTGCGTGTTGCCAGATAACTGCGCACTCCAAAAAACCTATTTTTCAGAATATCTCTGTGTGCTATAAACATTAAACTGATTCGAGATTGTTAGTCAGGACGAAGCTACCTTGCTTGACAGCGTGTTTTAAGTTATCAACATGCATAAAAAATAGAAGCAAAACAGTTTATCTTCACTGGGGGGGGGGGGGGGGGGGGAACCCTTTTCTCAAAACTATGGTACAACAGTCGTGAAAATGTAGTCAGCTGATCAGCAGTGTAGACCCAACACAAGTGGAAATTTTGTTTTTTGCCGAAGTTCCTGGACAATTGTTTCAACGAGACTTTTATCTTTCTCATTTGGACTGTATTGCATCTGTTAAGTCAAATCTTTTAGCTGGGGAATCGTGAAGACGTCGTTATAAAATGTAGTCTTTATCTTGCAAAAGGACACTTTGGCAGGAATAAAGGGGGGATTTCCAACTGAGACAATTGTCATTTCTATGTAACACACAGAGAGAACTGCATGATCTGAATCCCGAGCAAAACGAGAACAAGAGTTGAGTTGGAGGTCGCTCGTTTACATGCAATAATTTATTTGATAAAAGTAGCGTTGGGTAAAGGCAGCCAAAGGGCTGATGTGGACCTACTATACTAAAAATATGCTTCACATGCAGTTTTGGCCTGAAAACTCTCATGCGCACTCAGCGACAGCGTCGTGCGTCGTCATTTGAAACTGACGAAATTGTTCTTCACCCCGAGCTGATAAGAGTTGAAGAAAACTCGTGTTATTCAACTCCCGGTCGACTCTCGTTGTCGTTTGGCCTTCGGTTTTCAGGTTACTCAGCTGTCGCCTTCTTTCTTATTTCAAGGAAAGACAAAACTCATGTACATTGTTTGAAAGAGTATAGCATGTAAGTTACATGTACTACCAAGGCAACGAAGTGATGTAAGGCATTGTAATAAATGTAAATATAAAGGACATCAGTTGTTTACTTACAACGAGAGATAATACATACTTACTACTGTGTCCACCCTATTCTAAATCTCCAAGGCCCTAATCAAAACGTCAATGTTACAGTCGACGATACAAATATAACCGTAAAGCTGCCAGCTTGTCAAAGCAGCCCCCAATGGTGACTTAA